GCTGTTGTAAGTGGATTGGATCCAGCGCCAAAACACACTTATAGCCAATCAGCATTCAGGGGCGTGTCCACTCATGATGGGGGAGGTGCCTGTGTTGCAAAGCAAGTTTGTGAATTTGGGGGCGGGGCTATTAAGATTGGGGTGTGTTCCTTTTATAGGGGCCTGTTTGTTTTGGTGATTTTAAAAATTAACATATTTTCTCAGAAATCGCTTTTTTGCATCTTTAAGTTTCGCGACAGATGGCTACCGTTAACCTCGGGTAATAGCTGCAGACTCCTGACTGGTCATAATTTTACTATACAAATTTCCTCATATACTGCAAAAGCCTTTGGCTGAATTCAGAATTCAGTTCACATCAAATATAACATATTCAAAAGCATTCAAAATGTAATGCCAATTGTACCAATGAGCACATAATGTTATATAGCAACAATAAATGGCAACATTCCCGCCAAATTTGTGAAGTAAAGGAACAAAAGAATTAAAAGAAAAGCTGAGTTTCTATTTAACACTTCTGTTACTTAGTGGAGGGATTGTCGTCGTAAATTGTCCCACTTGTTGGTCCAGTCCCACAAATGGGCACTAATTTTCTGTTAGCATCAGACTTAATCCCCCTGTACCCCCTGCTAATCCACTCAGCCCCCTTTTTAAGATTTCATCTAGAGTCCAATCTGTGCTACTTGCCTCAAAGCCACAAGAAAACCCCTCACCCCATTGCCTTTACCTCTTGGTCTGAGTCTAATTGGGACATATAGAAATTAACACACTAATCCTACCGAACAACAAAAGCACTGGGCAGCTAATAGCTCCACCCCATTTATGCCGGATCAGCAATTTGTTGACTTTCTGTCCTGTCTCAATCCAACCAGGATAAGCTTTTGCTCACTCATTTATCTGGATGGTAGGAGCTAGAAAGCAAAGAAAGAAGTGAGGCTATACGCTACCCTGTTCCCCCCTACTGTTACTTTGATTTATTGGACAGAGAAATTAATATTTTATCTCCAGGGCATTGTTGATGACAACGTGCAAGAAAAAGTCTCAAAAAAAGAGGTTGATAACTGAAAACAAAAATAAAAGGGAGTATCTTTAAAGTAGATTTGGCCTTTATGAAGTTGTCTAAACTATTTCCCATGAGTCGCAATGCACCATCAACAAAGTCAGCTCACTCTGTTTCTGATATCTCCTCCATGAAAACAGCACATCAAAGACAGCGATCCCCAGACTCTCCCACCACCCCTCGGAAGAGAGCATTGCGTCTCATTCCTTCAGGATCTGTTTCTTTCAGCAGCATAAATGAACCGAACATCTCCTCGTCAACAATCTCACAGAGAGACTCCATCCATTCAGCAGAGGTTTTGTCCATCTGCACCCAAAAGGTTTGGTTTACAAAGACTCTGGCCCATCATCATCGTTCCTCCCGCTAAACCCTGAATCCCTTTTTTGTTGTTTGTTGACTCGGGTTTTTTCTAAGACAATCCATGAACCGAGCAATAAATTCTCTCTCTTTCTGGTCGTTAGACGCAGGCGAGTTTAGGTTTTCAATGTGAGGGATGCCTATTGGAAAATAATGTTCTGGGGGAGACTCCGGAAATTTATGAACATCTTTATTCGATGTTTTCTTCAACTGCTGTAATGTGTGCCAGTGTTTCACCTTACTGTTTGGACTGGAATTAATCTAAAAGCCAATTTTCCTGCTAACTCACTTTCACCATTTGTTAATTTGGAAAAGGTGGAAAAAAGTGAAGGAAAACTGGGCACACGTTCTCACCTGGCAGTGAGAGAGGGACTATTTATGAGCTACTCCAAGTGATTAAAAAATTCAAGGACTTACTCACTGGGTGACTGACATATATATATATATATATATACATATAAATTTTCTGAAATTGAGATTTATACATTATCTGAAAGCTGAATAAATAAGTTTGTTAGGATAGGACAATATTAGGCCGAGATACAACTATTTGAAAATCTGGAATCTGAGGGTGCAAATGAGGGTCCAAATGATACCCTTAACAATGCATGCTACTAATCACAAATTAAGTTTTAATATATTTATGGTAGGAAATTTACAAGATATCTTCATGGAACATGATCTTTACTTAATATCCTAATGATTTTTGGCTATTGCTACAAATAAACCCGTGCGACTTATGACTGCTTTTGTGGTCCAGGGTCAAATGCTATATATATATAAAATGTATTAAACTACAGTCATTTTTTGCAGATTTATCTGTAATTTAGTTTTTATGTTGTGCTTTATGACTGCTTTGAACATCAGAGAAACAGAAAAATAGCCAACATTTTATCTAATTTAGAAATATTTGGTTTGTATTTGAAACACCAGTTATGACCTTTGACCTTTAGTCTTTCTATGAATCAAATCATTACATTAATGTCATGAAAAAGCCCTAATTTGAAAAATATATGTCTAATTTACAAATATTTTCATTAGATAGCAACAAAACCCTTTAAATTAGTCACTGGGCAAGGTTCCTCAAAGAGGTTTTGTGTCTCTAATAGTGTGATGCTATGGTAACATTCAAATGGTAATGTATCCTGAACTCGAGTGATAGTGCAGTTGATTTAGTCCTCATCTTGCTCCAGAGGTTGTCTTGGAACCAGAACAAATGGACATGAAATGCAATTGCTCGAACCTGTCGTTTCAAACTCTGCAAAGTGTTTTTGTAATTTATCAAGCATTACGTGCCTAAAAGATTTTCCTCAATCTAAACACTTTAATGTTTAGTATATTTTACCTCCTGAAAACGCTATTTTTCACCCTTGCATTTTGTAAAACCGGGAAGTGCACCGAGGGTGTTGCCTGCTCCAGGAATGTTGCATGAGTCCTCAAGGACCCTTAAAAGAGGAGGTTTGGTGCACTCTCTTTTGTACCAACACGTCCTGACTTAACTCCCTCCGTGCACAGCACACTATAGTTTATTCAAGTAAATACACTACAGTATTTCATAAAGCTGCAGTTTTTAACATTTCCTAGACAAGTAACATAGAACAGCCCCTCTTGGAAAATAAATCATGTGTCTAATTTCATCATATAGCATGCCAGTAACCAGCACTCGAGTTGCAGGGAATGAAGGGTGTCTGATGCCGGCTGGAAGGATGGAAGAGCTGTTTATGCATTCGTGCTCTCAGTCTCATTTTTGTGTTCAACCCCATCACTCAATGTGAAGCGTTCTTTTTATTCTCATTCTTTTATTTTGGATTCAATAAACAAGTCTTTTGCTTTATAAATACAGAGTGCAAGATCAAAAACGAACTGTTTGCTGTCAGGGCCGACTATGGGCTTTCCTTTGATTAGTCCGGGAAACCCCAAATTACTTCAGTGTTCAGTCAACTCTGGGATGTTAGTGAAGTTCTGAAGTGGGATCCAGTGTCCAAATCCATGTAGTCCTAGATGAATTTCCATCACAATGGTCGCAGAGGGCAGTCAGTGATAGGATAAAACCAAACCAAGTTATATAAACCGTGGCAGAGTTTACTTTGTCCATTTAGCAAGCTGTTTCCCATGAAGATGTCAGAGTTTCCGGAATGATGACTTGTTTTTGACTCTTCTATTGTCTTCATGTCATTTTGACCAATGTTTGGTAAAGAATACACTAGAAATACCACATTGTTTTTGATACTGGAACCAGGATTCGCTAGGAACCAGCAATAGCTAAATAAACATAATTATTTTAAAAAAATGCTTTTACAATTACATTTACATTTTGTCACTTAGCAGACACTTTTAATCCAAAGCTACTTACAAATGAGGACAATAGAAGCTATCAAAACCAACAAAAGAGCAATAATATGCAAATGCAGAAAGTTTGTAATGTATTCATCATCATCTATTCAATCATATCTAATCTAGTTGTAGCCGACATTTTCTACCATTTTAAATATACTTTATTGATATTAAAAATGATATTGTAAAGTCTAGAAGGGAAGTCCTCACAAATAACATTTTAATAGAAGGTTAAAAAGTGTCAATATGAAATATACTTATTTAGTTGTGCATTTCATAAAATTTTCTAAGCATCGTTTGAAATTGTAGCTCTAAACTAAAAACCACATCGTTTGTAAATTAGGCCTAATAGCAGAATGAATTGTATTAAAATAAATGAGATATTAGGAAAATTAGTTTCTCAAAGTTCTTTAATAGATTTTTAAATCAAGTTGTCTCTACATCAATTTTCAATTGAATAAATCAATGAATGGTCAATGAAACAAACACAAGGTACATAAACAAACATAACGCTACAGAAGTGTTATTTCTACGCCAACTATTATTTGTCTTATATCGCCACCTTGTGGTTGTTCAATCATCAGTCAAGGTGTTTTTTTTAATCCATTTTCTGCTAAATCCAGACATCATCATTAACCTACAAGCCATGAATCAAACAATAAATAAATCTGATTAGATTCAAATCTGAAAGGATGAAGGAATGACATATGACCTTGGCTCTGAAGAGTTGACTGAAAAGTGATAAGTGAAAATAGAAAACTCTGAATGCCACAAAGGCAGACAACATCTCTACTGACATGATGGATACGCTGCTAATAAGCCCTTCAGCCCACACACACAGGAAACAACAGGTGGCGATTAGAGGAGATAGATGAGAGTCTTTGGAAGGCTGGCTCTGAAAAACCAGTCTGATAGGAGATTCATTACTGTTGCTGAGAATGGCAAGAAAAATTTAAGGAGACAAACAGGAGAGAGACGTGAATATATTTTAGTGATACTGCAAATATAGGTCTAGGGAGGTAAGGGAGGTCTTCACAAATCGCATTTTAATAGATTGTTTTAAAAACGTATTAGTGTGTAATATACTGATGTAGATTCTTTATCATGGATGACTGAGAAAAACAGGCTGAAAATGAAGAGGAAATAGTTTGAAATAAAATGATTGATTTTTTTACATCAAATTTTTTAATCATTTATGTCATGAAAACAAAATAAATGTAAAGTAAATAGAGAATCAAAACAAATATTTTTCACAGTTTATTTAATCACAAAGGCAGCATCTGTCTGTAATCATAACTCACACATATTGTCAACACAGTAAAAAAGGAGATTTTGATTAATGAAACAGCTGTTTTTAAAATAATGCAAAACTGGTTTAAATTTAAATCTATTTCATTAAATTGTAATTACATTTATCAATTACAAACAAATGTGAAGCCCTTGATCTAGAAAGTATTTATCCCTTTTTCCTGCCCTCGTAGTTTTGTATTTAATACTTATGCTTCATTTACATCAATTCTCACAGGATTTGTCCTATTAATCAAACAGAAATACAATTCTGTGCTTCAGTAGTAGTACAGGTTGTTGTATCAGAGTGCTTAAGATACTTTAAAGCTGTCTTGATGTGACTAGTCCTCTCGTAGATATGCATCTGGGACGTCTTCATCCTCCATTGCAGTGCTGAGAGCATTTTGAAGCCTCTCACTGTCCTCAGCTTTTGAGTCTTTGAGCTGTCTCTCAGCTTCCAGCATCTGCTGTTGAACATGTTCCACCTGGGACTGTGTGAGCTGTAGACTGTTCTGTGCTGTCACAGAAGCTTGGTCAGCCCCTGGAAAGGACAAGCATGGTTAAGCTATTTCTACATATGGCTAAAAGTGCAATAAAACAAATGACCACCAAGTGGAAGCAGGTGCCAAATTTCAACAGATCTATACACTGTCACGAAAGTGCGGACTCAGAGGAAGACCGCAAGGGTTTAGGGTGCGATTTGGGACAGGGCCTAAATCATACTTATTTCAAAGTAATATGATGCAAATTCATGTGCATTATGGCTCTATAATAACTGACAAGAAAACTTTTTGTTGACATGCCCTGTGGTGACAATAAAAAAATAAATTAAAAAATCAGTATACTAGATTCTAATCTAAAGGATCATGTGACAGGAGTAGACTGGAGTAATGTCTGCTGAAAATGTAGCCTTCCCATCACACATCACACTCCAACATACATTTAAAAAGATAAATTATTTTTAATTATTATAATATAATATTTTATAGATTATAATATTTTAATCAAATAAATATGAGACTTCTTTAAAAAAAACTTACTTATAAATAGCATTTATAAAATAAAATAAAATAATATAATAATTTTTATTATATATATAAACCAAAAATCTTCGACGTTCATAAAAAAAGGGTTAACCTAAAAGCCTTAAATGCCTGTTCCAAAAAAAATGAAAGCTACCTGCATTGAAAGCCGCCTCGGCTGCCAGCTTTGAGAGATTGATGGCAGTCATCCAGCAGGATTCAAATCGTTTGCAATCATTTCTCCTGTCAATTACCTAATTAAATTAAAAACAACTTTGCAATCAATTTAATTAAAAAGAAGGTATATAACCACAGTGTCACAAAAACACAACTACCACTAAATACAGCAAATTATACTTCTAATTTGAAAGCTTGTGAACAATAACTCACTGTATTTTTCAAGTCATTACCTCCTGACGCTGCCTAAGAATGACCTGCCAGATTGCATCCTCCTCTTCAGAAGTGAGTTTGCTGATGGAAGCCACATAGCGCTTGTGTATTGTCACAAGACTGTTTATAGCCTAGAGAAGATAAGTATGCTGGATGTTTTTGCGAATTTTTTTTTTTTAATCATGAAAATGAAAACAACTATTATAGTTTTGATTACCTTAATATAACCCGAGAAGGAATCAAGCAGTGCTAAAGTAGTTTGTGAGAGGTAAGTATTAGCACTGTCTGTGACAAGAGATGATGCTCTCCGCACCAGATCTTCATGGGTCAAATGTTCTGGTTTCTAAACAAGACAAAGAGGAAAGAGTGGTTAAGAGGTTTGTCAGATAACAATTTAGTGGAAATTAACACTAAAGAAGTTTTACATGCTGGATTGTAACATCACTATGTAGCAGACTGAACTCACAAATATTAATTAACTCAAGTTGACATTACTAGGTCATCATCATAGGCCGTTCAATCAAGCTATTTGATTAATATACATGAGCCAAGCTTTGGTAGGCCACTATTAATAAATTGAGGTCCTACACGGATGTACTTGACTAAAGTTGTATAATGTAGATGTTTCATGCTGTTTTATTGAAATGCTTTACATTTTCTCTGATATTTGCGCACACTATCTCCCATTAATGCTCCCATCGTTGCACACAAAATCTGCACAAATAATACGCAGGCTGAATCTCCATGTTAACCCTCATGTTGTGTTCTGGTCATTTTTACCCAGAGATAATTTTCTTTAATCCAAAAATGCTAGTTAAAGTTATAGCAATGGACTACAATTTACTGACTTTGCACACACATGTTGTAACAGCTTTCCCAATTATTCTTTTTTTGATAATTTTTGTATTTTTTGGGGTGATCTCCCCCCCCCACCCCCTCGCCCCAAGGAAGCAAAAAAATTGCTTATAAATTTCTCGATATGCTACTTTATTACCGGGGAAGTCGTGGCCTAATGGTTAGAGAGTCGGACTCGTAACCCAAAAAGGTTGCGGGTTTGAGTCTTGTACCGGCAGGGATTGTAGGTGGGGGGAGTGAATGTACAGCGCTCTCTCCCACCTTTAATACCATGACTGAGGTGCCCTTGAGCAAGGCACCGAACCCCCAACTGCTCCCCGGGCGCCGCAGCAAAAAATGGCTGCCCACTGCTCCGGGTGTGTGTTCACTGCTGTGTGTGTGCACTTTGGATGGGATAAATGCAGAGCACTAATTCCGAGTATGGGTCACCATACTTGGCCACATGTCACGTCACTTTCACTTTCACTTTCAAATAAAGAATTCAATCTTCTTTAAAGTTAATAAAGTAAATATAAAGTTTTCAATTAGCACAGGTTTTGCATTTCTTTTTAGAATTAATTGTTTGCAGGCCTCATCTGAGCTTAAGTGCCTCAGTTTATGAGTAAACATATTATCCACCAATATTATCCACAAAAAATACATCTGTTTCACTTAAAAACTAAGGGTGCATAATCTCAGATCAGTGAGGCCTACAAACAATCAATTCCAAAAAGAAACACAAAACCTATGCTAAATTAAAAGAAAACAAGTTGACAAAAAGATAGAATCCAAGATTTGGTGATAGTAAAGCATAATGTGAGATATACAAGCAATTTTTAAAAGGTAATTTTTTGACCGGGAATATACTAAATTAGGTCTTTCAGTACAGCACAAAGGTTGAAGATGTCAAACCTGAAATTTCAACAGTTTAACTTCAAGATACAATTAGAAATAAAATGTATTACGTTTAAATGATTTAAAGTGTAAATAAATGATAATAATAATAAAAAATAAACTCAGTTAACTGAAGGACTATTTCTTCCAATAAATGTACGAGTCTTCTAAAACTACAGTGAATTATATGTGAAGAATATAGCAATTCAGGAATGATGCTAGCCTATCTTTTGAACTCTGCACTTGTGTACTAAATATTAGCAGCTATTACAATCAAACAGTCTATATTCCAACCACAGTATCATGGCACAGACCTGGATGAAAGGAACAGCACACAGAGCACCTGTGACACTCAAGCTCATCCAGTTCTTCCTGAGGAGTGTGGGCAGCACTGCCAGTCTGCGGCTGCTCTGACAGGAGCTTCTGCTCATCAGGGAAGCTGCACAGCTAACGTACACAAAACATAATGACAAAGCTCATGTCAGGAATAAGATGTATGATTCAGTCACTCAGTTCAAGGACAACACTTCATATACACGACGGTTTAAACACATGAGGCTAAAATAAAACGGAAAGTAAGCTACAAAACTAAAATAAGAAAGTCATAATAAAACTAAAATAAGAAAGTTAGGAAGCAATGTACTACAGCTGTCAAAGCATCTGAGCGAATCTACAGACATGTTTATGTAACGCAGCTATTGTTCCGTTATTCATGACGGTACAGAAACCACAAATACACTACAATCAGGTTTCATGAAATTAAGTAAATATTGAAGAATGAGACACTTAAAAATATTATACACAACCTCAATCCAACAGCAAACAGTTTCCTTCTGTACGCCGCCATACTTGTTAAGATTAAGAATAAGAAATGAAATTCTCCCTCTATCGGTGTTGACGGAGAATTGCACCCTCAGATCCTGTTTAATAATAATGAGACTTATGAATATTTAAGAAGATTGAAAACATAGCGAATTACACTACTACTACTACTACTACTAGGCAGTAGGCTATAATAATAATAATAATTATTATTATTATTATTATGATTATTATTATTATTATTATTATGATTGATTATGATGATACTGCCTAAATTATACTGAGATAACCTTAAGAGGCCTACTCTTTTTTATACAAATTTTATTTTAGTCTGTGGTTATTAAAGGTTTTGTCAAAAGAAACTAATGGTAGCCTAAACTTTTTGTTTTTTTTCTACACCACCATTACAAGATCCAATTAAAATGTTAGGTTGTTTCAACCCAAGTTTGGGTCAAATATGGACTAACCCAGCTGTTGGGTAAAATTTTTACACAAAACAACAAAAACAATAAAAAATGTTAAAACAACCCAGCATTTTTAGTGTTACACAGCATTGAATTTTGTTAATGATCTGTAAGCCTCTTTTTGTTCATATATGCAGTTTTATTTTCTCTGCAGTCAAAAGGCCTACTGCCATAACTGCCACAACCAGTCCTTGCACTGCCATAACTGCCACAACCAGGTCTGCAAGTACACTTATTCTTTCAGCAGTGCCATGACAATTAATCCAAAGCTTGGATCCAGTTTTACAGGAACTGCAATGTGTTTTTGGTTTAACCTTAGCACCCCTCTCATATATGACCTGAATTACATTGCAACATGACAATAGGTCTATATTATTTCTCTATTTTCTCTTTCTGAATCAAGTAGTTTCTACATGCAGTTTTATGATTTAGGCCTAAAAAATAAACCAAAGATAGATTATTATTTTAGTAGGCCTATCTATTAGGCCTATTATTAGATACTAGTTATTGTTAATAATTAATTTTAGTTAGTTTCAGCAACTTTTCTGTATCCCTCACCCCCACCCCTTTTATTTATGTATTTATTTATTTAAATTTGTCTTGGCAAATGGCTGACATTAAAATGAGTTAAACATTTTTTATATATATTTTATTTATATTTATTTAATGTTTATTTTAGTTCAAGTAATTCATAAATTTTTTATGGTTTTAATTTCAGTTTTAGTTAACGATAACAACCCTAAAGGAAGACATGGATGCGTGTATTGAGTTCCAGGAGTTATCAAATTGATTTACAAACAATACAGTCTTTTACAAGAAGTAAATGCCTTTTTCTTGTGAATCTGTTGATGACTCACTTGCTCTGAATTACAACTCTGTTGGATGCCCACAGCTGCAGCCATATTCAGCTCAAGTGAATATAAGTGAGTCACATCCATATGTCATTTCTATTCATCGTGAAAAGAAGTGAAGCGAGTCTTGTAAGATTAACCCTTTATTAAAAATGTGTTTGTGAAGGATTTAGGCTCTGAGGACTATTAGTATAATCTCATCTCTGTCAGTCTTTATGGAAATGCCTATTCCCAAACAATCGTGTAAAAACAAACATATTTTTCAGCACAAAAAGTGAACATAATAATGAATTAACTTCGAGGCGAAGGGGAGTTCCAGTGGGGGTGTTTGTCTTGATACTCGAGAGCTTTCAAGTCACAAAAGACGCACTTCCTTTTCTAAAAAATCACAGAAGGGAAATATAATGATGATATAATGATTTGATTTAAATGATATAATGATTTTAAAAATGCAATGACATTTCATGAATGTCATCATGATGTTTTCTGTAATCATAGATCCTATCAAAACATTTTGTCAGTATTATTGACATTTTCAAATAGGGAACTTAAAAGTCTGTTCAAAGCTTCAAAACTTAAAAGTCTGTTCAAAGCTTACTTGGCAATTATGAAATACTCTTCAAAGCTCTGCATTGTTTGTTTGTTTTTACAAATAATATATTCTAATAAATGTTCATGTATTGTTAAGTCATGATATATGAAAAAAATAAGCTACAAATGTAAGGTTGATGGCACAAACAGAATTATGAATACATTTTTTATTTCATTATGTAGAATTAAAATCCATATAAATTATGTAAGTGCAGTTTTACATACATTTCATATAAAAATAAAACATTAAACATTTATTGAAATAACAATAAACATTAAAGATACACAATCTATAGAGTATTTCCAGTATAACAATAGATTATATCCTTTATCAATATATAAATTGTCTAAATCTATTTCATTTAAAAAATAACATTTATGGACCATGGCAAGTCTGTGAATATCTAATATAAATACAGTAGTCAACATTTGAAGTGGATCAAAAAAATTCAGCATAGTTGTCCTAAGACAGGAACGGGTATTGTTTTGGTTTTAGGACAACTTTGATGAAAGGTTTTGATCCACTTCAAATGTTGACTAGATTCATGTCTATTTTGTGATTTGGAATTGGATTTCAGTAAATTAATCTTTCTGTAATTCTTTTTGTATTTGATTAATTTAACGTTATTGGAATTTAACGTTAAAATGAAATGCTTTTTCAGCTAAATAAAGTGTCTTGACAAGTGCTTTGTCAGAAATGCACAAACCGATACAAAATGTAATATTGGACATTTTATGAAGTTATATTACATGCACTGGCATATTGGGGTTTAAGGAGAGTGTCAGTAACAGCCAGCAGCTATTAACCAGTAGCATTTGGAAAGCTAAACAGGATTTAGCCTGGTCAGTCCATGGAGGGGAAGCTTAGGTTGCTGCAGGAAGTGGCATTAGTAAGGCCAGGGGTTTTCATCCTGTGCTTAATGCCATAGTATAGTGCTGATGACAATGTAAAAAGGCACTACTGGTCAAATTAGATGTTAAACCAACAGCCTTGAACCCAAGGGTCTTAACGGGATAGTCCACAAAACTGACTATTCTGCCATCTTTTACTCATCCTTATGTTGCTCTAAACCTGTATGACTTTCTTTCTTCTGTGGAACATAAACAAAGATATCAATGTTGCTTAACCAGTTTTGGTTACATTGCAAGTTGAAACTCTTTGGTTACCAACAGTCTTCAAAATATTTTCTTGGTGTTCTGCAAAAGAAAGAAAGTCATACTGGTTTTGAACGACATGAGGGTGAGTAAAAGATGCCAGAATTTTCATTTTCATTTTCAATCTGTCAGTCATTTAGAAAAAAAACCCTGCAAATTACAAAATCCAAAATGAGAAGCATCTCATTCCACATAAACACTTTATTTTGTTTCTCTCATGGTTTTAATTTCTCTCCTCACAGACAAGTGAGCAATTATGAACAGGCCTCTACTTACAGTACATCAGAGTTCATTTAGATGTCAATTCTGTTTGAAACAGATAAAATGACTACAGTATAAATAACAGCTGTAACAATTGTCATGTCACATGACCAGAAAATGTGCAAAAATGAGCAATTACAAAACATCTATGAACAAACAGATTGTCAAAAATGCTTGTAGGTTAGTTATTTTAGTCTGATTCAGTTTTCATTTTATTAAACAGAATTTTATCTCAGATTATTTTCTCCATTGTCAGGAACATATCCAATATATTTCAGTTCAGTACCAAAGTGCAAATTTTTAAACCACTGCTATTAAACATGTTGCTCTATGACAAATGGTTTGACTTTGCCTTTACCAAAAGTGAAGTAGTATTTAAATAAACAGCTGAAAGCCTGGTCTCTCAGACCATATATAAGAGGACTTAAACATTTGGGGAAAATGATAAACATTAAAAAGCAAAAATACATCACATTCAATGAAGTCATATAGTCAGTATAAACAAAAGTGGCTTCTTGGATAACTCCAACTAAGATAGATGCAGCACAGAGTCCCAGTTGTATTAGATGCAGCAAAACAGTCTTGTTGGCTTTTTTGGCTGACATTTTATCACAGGCGGCTGTTTTAGCCACAGCTGCTATAGAGGCATAAGTAAAGATAATAACAAAACACACAGACACGAAAAATATGCATGTGAAAGCTATATCAAATTTCTTATAGATCTGAAGTCGGAAAAGAGTAGTTCTTGAGCAGAACAAATGCATTGCTGTGTTTGTAGAATCAATGGCATAGAAAATAATCATCTCAGACAAACACTGAATCAAACCCATCATCCAAACAACACCGATAGCTATGTGAGTTATTCTGTAACTGGTGATTTCTGCATGTCTGAGAGGAAAGCAGATGGCCACATACCTCTCCAGTGACATTAAAGCCAGATTTATAATAGAAACCTGAAAGAGAGCTTGTGCAGCAATGAGAAGAACAAGACAGACATTTTTCATAATTAAAATCCTACTGACAGCACATATATACAACACTACACTCATAAAGAGATTGAGCGTATCGACCCAAAGCATGTGACCAAACAGAATATAGCGGGATGCCTCCTGAAAAACAGTCTTTTTCCTCAAAGTGAAGAGCATGACCCCATTGACATAGAGGAAACTAACACATGGGGTCACAAACAAAAACGCCTTCATTGGTGCATCTCGATCCAGAACCAACAGAGTCTGAGTGAGGTTAGTTTTAGATTCATTAAAATTAGACATCTTCAGTAGCATAAGACATCAGATCAAGATGCTGTTACAGAACACTGAATAGAGTAATACTGCAATCTCCAAAGTCCTGCAAATCTTCAGCATGCGCTTCCCTCACAGGTGCTGTTGAAGGCACAGATGGCAGAGCATCACATTTTAAATACTGTTAAACTGAATCCCAGTGGGTGATTTGTGTATGTGCGTTGTGCATTTCACTAATAGCTGTCAGACAACATAGCGTATAGTCAGAGGCGGCCTTTGCTATTTGGAGGCCAGTTTCAAAGAAATAGCTGGAGGCTCCTCCTCCTTGAGAAAAAAAGACTGAAAAAAAAAATACTCTATGCAATGTGATTGCAATTACGTCATTGTCTGTTATATTTATAATTTTTACCTCATATTTCACTAATAGACTACTTATAAAAACTGTCTACCACTGAGCTTTAATGATGATGGTTCTTTCAACAGCACTAGTT